AATTATAATTAATTTTATTATTTTTAACCTAATGCCATAAATGATTCGAAAATTAATTAATTTCGTGATAATAAAACAATTCCTGCTAAACAATAAAGTTGAATGTATGGTATTTCAAAGATATTTGCACGTTTGTGTGCGTTAATTTGGGTCTGCGTCTATTACTGAAATATTGCACTATGAGATACTTGTGCGAAACTTAAAAGTAGGCGAGCCTCTTTGGCACGTGCAAGTCTCACGAATGTAATTAAGTTTATCTGTTTAGTTATCTTTTGAGAAAAACTCATATAAAATTTTACAACAATTTTGAAGATTTACGAATTACGTGACAATGAACTTTACTTCTTTATACGACATTAAATTAAACCAATTTGATTTTTGCTGTTCTCAGCAAACTATTTTTGGATAAAAAAAACATTGACTGGGAGAGTATAGTCAATTAAATTCGCTTTTTAAATATGTTTTATTTTTAATTTCATTCTCTGTATTATACAAATTCAAAAAAAGTACACTGGAACAAAAGTGAAAGTTTTAGGACTGAATTCATCATATCAATTTTTTATTTAATTTTATTTCAGTTTAATTGATACCCATTCTTGTGAATAGCATATTATGGTTATATATATAAACTTAAACAAGTTGAACTATTAAAAGGATGACAGTGTCAAAATTTTCCATCACCTCCAACCGCTGTTTAAAAATTAAAATCTTAATACTAAGAACAGAAAGCTGTTATAGGTATAACCAAATAATTCGACCGCCATTTCTATATGCATGTGTAGCGTTTAGCAAAGCCTCAAACACTACTATTTGTCAGCTAGAAAGTGCACAAAGCCATGCTCTGAGAAGACTTTTCAAGATACCATGGTACATTAGGACGAATAACATCCTTAGGGACCTCAAGATTGATCCGATCAAAAAATACATAAAGGATAGAACCCTGAAATTATTTACGAAGACTGACAGACTTACCAACACCGCATTATCGAATCTCAGAATGGTAACAGGCTTTTCGGGGAGGTATGCAGATCTGAGGTCAATTATTGCTTAGTCTGATGAAATGAAAAACAGTAACCCAGTCCAGGCGTAAAGAGGGATTATGAAGAAACCGCACAATTAATAGAGAGTAAAAGTGTACAAGTGCACTGACTTCACTAGCCTCAATATAATAATAAAATTTCTAAAGAGAACATATATTGAGACAAGGGCGATGTCGAAACTGGTTTGCAAAATTGCCATTCGGTAATTCTGATGCTAAAGTCGCACTGTGTTCTGGAAGGCCAGATGAAGCTAATCAAAACACAAAAGAGATACGAACCGACATTGATAGTAACTTGTGAGATTGCTGAGAGATTAAATCTATTAAATTCGACCATTCAAATTCTTAATCTTAAGCTTAAAAAATGACTTGAAAATGACTCTTACAGAAAGAAATTTGTAGTCTGCTGTGATTAACCTGTCAAATGTTAGAAAAGGAATTATTCATTTTTAACGAGCATTATTACTGGGGTCAAGAAATAGATGACAACAACAATGTTAAATGCAATTACATAAGGAGCTAAAAAAATAAACTGATTTAAAACTCTTTAAAACCCGGTATTCAACAAAGGAAGGTGATAATATCTATTTGGGTTGATTTGCAAAGAATTATCTGTTTTTTTGAGCTTCTATCGGACTATATAACGATCAATTCTTAAACGTACAGTCATTATCTGGTCAAAGCAAATGATTCGCTTAAACAAAATTAATTGATAGAACAGGTATAGTGTCTCACCAAGACAATGTTAAATCCCACTTTAGATGTGATATACTTATTATTTAATCATTCTCTTAAACAAAATTCATCGTTAGTACAGGTAAAGTGTTGCACCAAAATAATGTCAGATACTACTTTGAATAGTATACTTATTATTTACTTCAGTCTCTATAAAAGTTTTTAAACTGTAACTGTGACTGCTTCGAACGAATAGAAAAAATCTCGGATCAGTTTTTTGTTATTCAAGAACCAAAAATTTTTTTAACTAAGAATCATATTACTGGCAGAAAGAAGGCGAAAGGTATTAGACCAGTCTACACAATATATAAGTCAAGCTTAAGGCCATATAGCGATAGCTCCTATTATTTAAATTAGATGTAAGTTTCAATAACGTTATAACTTTGTTAATAATAATAAATTATAAATCAATAAAATATTTATTCAATATGAGTAAATAATAGAAATCTTATGGATAAGACTATTTATTTCCTAAAATATAGACAACAGACTAAAGATGACTTATAAAATCATATTTATGTTTTAAATTTATTTATAATTTAAATGTTTTATAAATATCATACTAACATATATGCCAACAAATAAAGGTTAAACTACTCCATAACAATATAACCTTTAATATAACTGCTCTCTAATCCGTTCTCATATAATACATGCCATTTAAGGCAGAATCGAAAACGCCCAAGTATTAACCTTTTTCATTTATTTGAGAGTAATTTTTAAATGAAATATCAACAATATGTGTACAGTATATATTAAAATGTAATTAACAAAAGGTTACTGAATTAAGCTTAAAAAGCCTGCAAATACTCTGTTTATTTATAAAGCATTAAGCAATTTTTTCAGTGTATACTTTGCTTTCAATAATTAAAATAATCTACTTAATTAATTTGGAATCACTCACATCGAGCGCGCACGTAGTTGGAGTTGTGGTGCTTTAAGTGGATTTATTCCACGGTTGTGCTTAATATGCAATGAAGGATAATCAATTTTACTTGCCTTTGTTTTTTAATGATACTGGGGGAGTAACATGACAGCAACATGACGGGTGGAATCAATTGAAATTATTAAAAAGGAATTCAACAAGGAATCAATTGAATTGAAGCAAATTGCGAGCCACAATCTTTAACAGAAAAATAATGAAATGTATTCAACTAATCTGGGATAAAGGCTGCTTATATCCGTTTAATTATTTCTGTATCTCTGCACATTTTCAACAAAGGATGATGCCAAATATGAGATGATTTAATAAAGCTCGAACTGAAATCATTCTTAATTGGAATTTAGTTTATCGTATTTGTATACTTACCCTAACATTACCAGACGATAGCAATTTTTCGATGATGGCGCATTTTCATCACACAGCAATGAACCGGAAGTACATGCAAAATCGTCCATCGGCTCAATAGCATCCGAATTGTTATCCATTGCTTGAGCGTTTAATTCCGAATTGGTTATTATGCGACTTGTTGTGCTAACTATGCCGTTATTGCCGCTCGGCACATCATCGAGAAAAGTGACGACATGTGCATTACCGCCACCGCCAATAATGCCTGTTCCAGCTCCCGTACCAGTAGTGGCTGTAGTAGCCGTTGTTGCGGTAGTCGCTGTAGATGGTTGGTGATCTTTAATGAAATCTGGTGTTGCAACAGCATGATGTGTGGAAGCAGTTGCGTCATTAATTGAAACCTCAGCATAGTCGTTATTATTATTGCGCGCACAGAACCAATTTCGGCAACGGTTCATTGTTGTCGGCAGCATTCTCATCTGGTCTTCTTGTTCGGTGTCCTTGCTTAACTATATATTCCACGCTTCTCCTACACGTTTATGTATAGCACTATGTATGTAAGTGCCTATACATATGGTTAAAATGTATCTATTTGGATGGCACACTAAACGATAAATTAATTGGAAAAAAAATTTGCTCCCACTTTTATGCGCCAGAACACAGTGGTTTCGAGTGTTATTTTGTGGTATTGAGTGCTGCTTAAATTGTCAACGGTGGTTGACATTGAAAGTAATTGCCTTCTTGTGTGAAACCACGAACCGCTTGCTTCATTGGTTGGTTACTTCCTTCGCCTGTTGGTTTTTATTACACTGCTAATGGTCGCCTATAGATATCGAACTTTATGGTTCATTAAGTGGCACATTTTTTGTTTGGACATTTTCTGTTTTGATTTGTTTTTGTTTATTTTCCCACCCTCGATTTATCTATTCGGGCGGTGGTGCTCAAATAGGAAACAGCAGGACTTTTCAAACTCAATTAATAAAAATTGCCTTCAGATTTAATTTTGGATATTGTCATCAATATGTCAAGAATGATATGTTTACATTCGCTATTTGGTCGTCTTTCCCATTTTTACTTAATTTTTCCTCACATTTTCGAACAATTTTTATTTACAACTTTTTTTCTTAGATTTTTAAGTTGTTAAGCCATTCTTTGTTTATTGACCATTTCGACATTTGTGTAATTGGCTTCTTCCTTGTTTTTTATAGGCTTTATTTAATATCGTTTAAATTTGCGTGGGTATATGTCATCTGAAATAAAAAATAAATTAGATTTGTGAGATACTTATAAGAAAACCATTTGAGACTATATTACTATACTTGAAATTGATGAAACTAAGTATAATTTGTCTATTTTTGGAACCATTTGGATTTTGTAAAAATACTGTATCAGATTTCATGCCACACTTTTTTTAAGTGTTAATATCAATTTATTTTTACAAAATTAAATAAGAAGTGCTTACACTATGGCCCAATTGAACTGTAACCAAATTTGTCCTACTCTCAGAACTGCTAGCAACACTGAGTCTATATTCTTTTAAGAACAACTTATTTTATTGATTTTTATTAACAAACATTTGAGTTTAAGTTCTTTGGAAAAATTATTATCGGCAACATAACTTCAGCATTCATAAGCAATAGCCCTGTAATTGAGAGAAAAGTCTTGAATGAGGCTTCTGAAAGACTTCTGTTATGTCTTGGAAATACTCAGTGGGACACAATTTTTCTTATTTCGCACCACAACACAGTATTCGGAAACTGAATTTATTGAGAAAATTAATGGAAGAAAATATAGAGAAACTGACACTATTGAGCGAAGCACTAGAATAAAACTGCAGGAAAAAAGGATTAACTATAGCCAATGTGATATAAAAAGCCATAAATAAATGGAGCCCCTGTAATGAAATGAAATGACTACTAAGCTGAACAATTCAAAACGAGCTATGCATTAAATATTGACTTGAAAATAGACAAAATCCAAAAATGACAGGACAGCAATATGCAAAAAATAACTATGCCTGATTGAAAAAGGCAACTCTTATACTTCCACGAATATGAACAATTGCAGAACATCGATTTCTATGATGAAAAAAAAAGTTCGAAATGACAAACAAAATGTTCGAACTTACTTCCAACAAAGGTCATACGATAATTTAAGCCTTCGCATTACCACAAGATTAAAAAAGCACCATCATTTGCAATAGTTTAAGAACCGGAAAGTTTATTAGTCTCTTTCACTTGTTGTTTTTGTACCGTGACTTTATGGTCAAAAAAACTATTTACAGAGATAAAGTTTGAAAATGTGCTCTGAAAATGTAGAGAATCATGTATTTTGAGTTTCTACACAGTGACACAAAGTATTGGAATTAAACAGTAACTAAAAAACAAGACTTCGTTTCAATAGTAGTTCATCATCGAATGGTAAATAAGTCAGTAATAAAATATTATTTCTTAAGTACCTTAAAAAACTTTTTCATATAAATGAATTTATTTTCTAAGATTCAAATTCGTTTAATATATCACTCATTTGACAAACGACTAGAACACATAGTTACCATCTTTAATTCATATCAACAGTCGTCCACAGTCTCTAGATGAAAAATCACTCATCATGTGGTATGGGGCACTTTGCAAACTAAGTTCAACACTAAGAAATATGATTGATAATATACTCAGTCATTGATACTCGGTGTGAATGACTGATTTGCTCAGATTCAATCAAGAGCAGACCAAGATCAACACTAAGAATACGATTGCTGACGTATTCAAAAATACTTTTCGATATGAATGACTGGTTTGCTCAGATTGTTATATCAGCAATATAGAGCTCATTTTTGTGACTCAGACCCATAGAAAAACAAATAATTTAGAACCAATTCAATATTTATTTAAAACCTTATGCTATTTTTTTTTATAATTTTTTTTATAATTTTATAATTTTTTATAATTTTATAAATTTGATTTTAATTTTAACGATTGCTAACGTATTCAAAAATACTTTTCGGTATGAATGACTGGTTTGCTCAGATTGTTATATCAGCAATATAGAGCTCATTTTTGTGACTCAGACCCACAGAAAAACAAATAATTTAGAACCAATTCAATATTTATTTAAAACCTTATGCTATTTTTTTTTTATAATTTTTTTTATAATTTTATAATTTTTTATAATTTCATAAATTTGATTTTCATCAAAAAAATAAAGTGTTCCTAAAAGTTGCAGTTGATTTGGGTTTCACAGTAAACAGAGAACTAGATCAAAACATTCTTAAAAGATTATAAAAAAATTTTTTTTTATTTTACTTCGGGTTTCTTATAAACCTATTACACTTAACATAATTTAATCCTACTTAATAATTACATTAATTATGTACATTAGTTGTTTTTAGTTGTTTTCAGTAGCCTCTTCAAGTTATTTATTTTATTTTTTTAATGGCTCCATAAACACCAACTGTGGCTATTTAAATGCATTGTTATTAATTCAAGTGGTACTAAGTTTGGATCGTACAACTTTTTAATTACTATAATGGAGTCTAAAGTATTATTGTGTAATATGTTTTTAGTAGAGCACAGGGATTTGTCTTTTAATACTATCCTAGAAGTACAGAAGGAGTAAACACTATTGTTTATTGTCAATTATTTACAACTAATAAACTAAGGAAAATTGTTCATGTGTTGAGGAATCAAATTAAAGCAGCAAAAAGCCTAAGTCAACGAATTAATCGACACTTAAAAAATGTATTTTCTAGTTAATTTATCTAGTGTTACTCAAATATTTAAATTATTTGCTGGTAGCAATGGTGGTGCAAAACTGGTAAATGAAATTAGTGCCAGACTAATGTAATTAAAATACACAAGTACCAAGTTTAAATAATGGAATAATTAAGTGCTTGATTACTGTTTGAAGTTTCAGTACTTATACTCAAAAGAAACACTTGTACTCAGTTGAATTCAGCCAATTCCATTACTACATTAAGGTCAAAAGCTACTTACAAATTTAATTAGTTCAACAAAAATTAAAAAGAAAGAGTTAAAAATTTTATAATACTTTCTAATCTATGTAAGGAAGTGAAAATTGAAAAATAGAAAAATTTAACTATAAAGGTTTTATGTTTTATAATCCAAACAATAGTTTGCTATGAATCACAACATTGCATAGGTTATGTTTTTTTTTTTCTTAAAATACGTAGTTAGACTTTTGATTATATTATCAGAAATTATTTAAATGAGCTCATAAGGCGTGATAATTTTTTTTAATAATTTTTAAAATAAAGCTTTTTAATTATAAATGCAAGAAATATCGAAGAAAATTTTTTTTCATGAATAAATTTGCATATCACATGATTTAAATTATTTCCATCGTTTGCAACGCTCATTGGCATACATTTAACTGAAAACCCTATAAAAGTATTTCACTTAGGGCTACTAAATGAATACAGAATTCCAATTTCATATTATTTTCCGCATAAAACTTAAATAACAAAAGGAGAGAAACAAAGGAAGTACGAGAACTTAAACGAAATTTGATTGAATAATCACGCTTCAATAGTTTGCCCAACTTAGCATTTTTACATTGCTAATGCAGCAGTTGTGTTCATTTATCCTCCAATGCCTCCAACAGCTTCCAAAGGCATGGCAACGTGCGCTGGTGAACGCCATCTGCACAAGTTCACTTTGGAGAGAAGCTGCAATTAAAATCGCAGTAAAGGATAAAACTTTACTTAACTAAACTATAATTATATGTAGTCTATGTGTTTGTAGTAATAAGAGTACATAAATGCAATTAAATGCTGTTGCTGCCACTGTTGTTGTCACTGCTGTTGTTGCTGCTGTTGTTGCTGCTGTTATCCTTGCTGCTACTGATAATGTCGTCGTTGTTGTGATAATCAACAAAAATAAATTGTCAAAGAGCCTTTGATTAACGAAGTAAAAAGTATTGCAAATTGTTGAGAAGACAAGAAATTGCTGAAAATTAACTTCCACCTTGAAGCGAATATAGCCTCACTATCTCTGCGCTAGAAGAATTTATCTAATTCTTTAGTATAATATATACAATTCGTATAGATTGAAAAAAATAATAAAAATAAGTATCAAATGTTTTCCCTTCAGGCATTTTGGTTGGCTTTAATTAAATTTTATATGAGTTCCGAAAATTTGTGGTTCATATTTTGTATGTCCTTATTTCTATGAGGGTCAGAAAATGCCCCAATGACTATACATTTTTTTCTCTCTTAGGTACTAATACAATTAAAAGGCTTTGTTCAGAAGAATTTTGTTTTCTGAATTTTGCGTTTTTATTTTTGTTTTTATTATATTATTTTATTTTGTTTTATTTTATTTTATTTAGCATACGAAAGGGCACTACTCGCACTCCGCTGCATTTTAAATAAAAATGTAAAAAGGAGCACAGTTTTTGCTTAAAGTGAATGAGAACTTTTAATTAAATTATTTTTAATGCT